TACCCGGTAGCCAATTCTGTCGACATAGAAGAGAATCTCAAATTTTTCCCCCTTCTGGAAAGGCATGAGCTTGACTTTCTCCGCCTTTTGCCATTTTTTCTTGCTGAAGGTGTTGAAAGCCACCGATGGACAACAACCGAGCTGGGGTTTGAAATGGAGGGCTTTGACTCGGTCTCGCCTTCCAAAATACTCCAGGTTGATATGAAAGCTGCAAGAGTGACAGATTGCAGGGATACATTACCGAAGATTTACTTAGAGTGAACAGGACATATATGACGACCTTGCAAATCACTTACATCTTTCAATCCTCTCTACTAACCCTGATCCTTTACTGCAGAAGATTGTGATTTGTTAGTGGGTATGATTACAGTCCAGTTATTCATAAAGCCTAATGTTTTTTCAGATGACAATTCAATTTGTTGTAGGTTCCTTGGTTGAGAGCCAGATGCTGTATCGTAAACAATATTGAGATCAGAGTCAAATTAATAGAATATGTTGTTTCCTCCTCTGAGATTTCAAGGACAAGACCCAGTGCTACAGTTTCTCACAACAACATATTTAAAAAATCTTCTACATTCCTGCCAATGCAACTCCACTTGAATGTAATTTCTATCCATTGAACTCCCCTATGACAATGGTGAAAAATATGGGATTTGGGCCAAATTACAAATGTTTGTGAATGGATCAGTAGTAATCTGAGCATTGTTTTGATCAGCTGTTTAATTAAAAGCAATAAAAAAAGAAAAATCAATATAGTTCCAAATGGACTCAAAGGGAAATTATACATTGAACAGAATTACTCTGCAAAAAATACAACTCATGGATGAGGAGGAGGTAACCTTAATTAGATTTCTTCCAAGCTGTAACACATTGTTAATCATTGAACTTTGCTAAGTAATGAAGGGATTATGCGCAGCATAACAGAACAAATGCCATCCTGGGACTCAAAGAGCATACAGTAGTTCAATCTCCAATGACTCACATAAAATTAATTTATTTTTCTGACATTAGGGCCAGAAACTCGTGCCCAGTATGTGCATGAACACAAAATGAGCTTCCATAACAGTTATAACGGGACATGCAACAAGCAGCGCTAAGTGGCTGACTACCAGCCGATCACACCGCCACGACGCTCAGCTGTTATGATTCTGCCATGTCTGTTCTGTTTCTGCCTTGACCTGTTATGTTTCTACCATGGTCTGTTCTGTTTTTGCCATGTTCTGTTTAGTTTTAGTTCATTGCCATGTTTTTGTTTTTGCCATGTTTTGTAATTCCTTGCCATTATCCATATTTCTGTTAGATTCCGGTCCATGTCTTTGTTTATGCCCTGCATTGCACCTTGTCTCTCCTGTCTGGTCTTGTGTTGAGCTACAGCTTCTCCCCAAGTCCTGCGTGTCACATGCTTGGGTGATTTCATGGTTTCTGGGTTTCCAACCATTCCTTCTAATCTCGTTTGCTTCCTTCGCCTTGCTTTTCTATTTTACTAACCAGTACTAACAGTTTGTTGTTTTGTTAAAGATACTAACCAAGACTAGCATTGTATATAAAACTAACTTACTAACGAGCACCAGGGATTGTATAGCTGCACCTTACTAATTGATTAACAAGCTCTCAGCACTCGCCCTGTTCTAGTCTCCGCCTCTTGCCTTCACTTAGTCTTTGCTGCAATTCAGCAGATCCTCCGCACCTGCTCAACTCTATCCTGCCTCTCATTATCTGTGCACATTAGAACTCCCTAACCGGAGCTGTATGTTTTGTCATAGGTTGTCTCGTGATCCCTGTCCGCGTTTTGGCTTTTGCCAATTTCATGTGGTTAGGTTCTCCCTCGTGTTTGCTCCCACGTAATTAGTCTGATCCATTTCACCTGTCCCTAATCATAGCATGTGACTTCCCTTGTGTGTATTTAAGCCGTCTTTTCACAGCAGATCCCCATCAGAACGTTTCCCTAGTTTATCTGTGCTGCTTTTGTATTCGCCTTGTACTCATAGTGTTGCTTTTCTGACTGGATCGTCCGACTTTCGATTTTTGGCTCTGATTTGGTATTGTTGTTCTGCATCTGTTATCAAACCCTTTTTCTGCTCGACTACAATTACTGTTTTTGCTGCCCTGGTTTTTCGACTTGGATTCTGCCCCTTGGATTGTGATTTTTGGATTGTGGGCTTTGTACTGTTGCCTTCTGCCCTGCGGGGGTTTACCCCCTCGCTTAATAAAATATCTTCTACTGCATTGCTGGATTCTCGCGACTGGTTCCTGAACGCCACCTCACATCAGCTGCCTGCTCAGCTGACTATGCCAGCCAAAATTCACACTGCCCATTCTCACTCGTATTGCGCTCGCATTGCAATACCACCGCCACCCCAGCTTCAACTTCATTTTGTTCACTGTGCTTCATTCATTACTTGCTTTTTTGACTATCACTTAGCATTAAAACTGTTTGCCTTGTCTTATCAACAGCTCATGGTTTTGGAGTTAAGAATTTCAGGTGACACATTTTACAAGTAGGAAAATGAAATTGACTTGGCGTAACTCAAAGTTTCTGTTCCTTTCGAACGTTGGACATGTTTTCAATCAGTCTTTCAGCCACTGTTCTGGCTGGACCCACCATGCCCAGCTGGTGGCTTCTCACCTGTCGACCTTCCGCTGCAGTCTTCCCCGGAAGTACAGGTACATCCCAACCATCAAGCCACCAGGAATTTGCGTCACATATTGGGGAGTCTGCACAACAAATACATGAGGATTAATGTACAGTAGTTTTTCCATAGTGCACATCCCGTCACCCGTCATAAATGAAAGTAACGGTTAGAAAGGACAATTAAAAGAAAAGTTACATGAATAATTTCAAAAACATTCTCATACTTTTTGAACAATTCTCAAGATATAATTTGCATTCCTCAATTACAGGACACGTCTTTCATGCTCAAACTCTAAGTGTGCTAAAAGAGTAAAACAGGTTAAAAAAAAAAAATCCAATAGGGTATGCCTGACCTCCAATTTCAGATATTGAAAACTTGCCACTTGGGCAATCTGATTCTCAGTGCAGTTGAAGAAATGAATGGGCCAGGATTTGGTTTATGAGTTCATAACCATGAGAGTTTCACTAAATTATGAATGACCAAGTGTCAGAAATGTGTAAGGTTAGGCCGCATTTGGTAAATTAATTCCGTATTGAATATTATTGACCATGAATCACACCCAATTTTTTGTCATTTGATAGAGGGTTTGAGCATAAAAACTGTAATTATAGTTAGCCAGCGTCTAGAGCGTGTGAAAAAATGTTGGCCATTTTTTTCCATCATAGCTTAAATGTTGGCTTTAACCTTTTCATGCATGGAGGTCACTACAGTGTACAGCTATTTAAAAGTGTTTTTTCTCCATATATGCCTGCAATTTTGGGCACTGCTGCATATTAGTAAAAATATCCTGACTGAGTTAATCATAATTCATGCATGAGAGGGTTAATGTTGCATGGATATCACAAAGTTTAGCACAAGCCTGTGTATTCAAAAATTTTTGTATTATGAACAGGAAATGTATCAGTTGTGACAATAAGACTGAAGATGTTTAACTATTAAATGTCATTATTAAAAAAAAAAAAAAAAATTGCACGGCTAGATGATTCAGTAGTAGCCTACGAGTAGATTACTAGTAAAAGGAATTATTTGAAAATGACTGCTTAAAGTTTAGCATCAAGCTTGGCTTTCATCACCCTCCACTCTCTGCCCCCTATTTCATTCATTATGAAAAATATTGTACTCAAAGTCATTTCTCTTTAACTATTTAATTTGGGAATGATTAAAGTGAATGCATTATGCTTCAATTGTCTTTACCAAAACTGTCATTAAAGTTTTGACTTTGTACCCAGCATTACTCTTTCACTATGATAATCAGCATCATTTCTGTAAATCAAAACAATGTCAAAGAAAAGGTTTTAGAATTGGATTTATTTTTCATGAACATATTTTGTTTGTGATGATCTGCCTATTAGCTACAAGTTATAGTTTGCATTTACATTACTAGGTTGTGTCTAAACAGATGAAGACCACAAAGAAAAAACAATCAGAGTCCAAATTTAGCATTTTTGTATATTTTATATATTATATGTTATTGTAATATTTATAATAATATATAATAATACACAAAAGTCACATGTCTACAATTTGGTAGAGTTTTCACATTTAACTCATGTTACCAGATGAATTGACATGAAAACAGTTTTTAAGGACAAAAATATATCTCTTATAGACAAGGAAAATCTGCATGAGTGTGTTGAGGTTGGCATACTCACAGGAACCAAAATCTTTGCTTGAGAAAGATATCCGCACATGCCCGCTTTTACTCCCTGAAACGCAAAGTCAGCGGTGGGTTGGGGAAAAGTTTAAACAAATCCAGAGAATATGTCGGACATTTACAAACAAAAACCAATTTGTAACAGCAAGAGTAAAAGCCCAAATACCAATACTCCTTACCAGACTAAAATCTAAAAATTACCACTGTAACTTGCTCATAGGTTTTTCAAAAATGTTATATCTTAATTGTAATGTGAAATTCACTGACCTGTATGATGTGGACGCTCTCCATGGAGACATCTCCACCAAACTTTATGGAAGTCACATCCTCCAAATTCATGCGATGCTTGAACATGTGGAATTCCTTCTTATTCACAATTACCTGCAAGAGCCAGAGAGGAAAGCAAGGAGTTGATAAATAATTCAAATAAATAGATTCAGTAAAGAGATTTGACTTGTCTGAGATGTGCGCACCCCAAACCATTAAAAGCCAATTTCATACCAAGCAATTTGTTTTAGCAAATGAGACTATATTCCAACACAAAAAGGAGGCATAACATGCATCCATCAATTCTCCATACGCACTTCTTCCTCATTAGGGTCGCAGGGGGAGTAGGAGTCTACCCCGGGCTAAAGGCAGGGACTTGCCCTGGACAGCAGGGCGCACACACCATTCACACACCACTGGGAGAATATGCAAACTCCACACAAAAAGAGCCCAGGCCAGATTTGAACCTACAACCTTCTTATTGTGAGGCAGTAATGCTAACCGCTGCACCACCATGACACCCATAGAATGCATCAAATACGCAAACATACATGCAATGCAATTTTTGTAGTAAACAAGTACAGTCGCTCATGCAGCTCCTAACAGTCTGACCTGGTAGCCCACTGAGGTGATGACGTAGATCACTTCAAAGTCCTCTCCATTGGCGAAGGGCATATCACCTGGCTGCTCCTCATTCTCCCAGCAGCCGTTGCGGAAAGTGTTGAACACAACCGCTTTCTGACCCGAGCGGGGATTGAAGTGGAAGGCATTGTTACAGCCCTTATCCACCCCACAGTGTAGATTGATGCTGAACCTGCAGGGGGGTGATGAACAGTGAGTTTGTTGAGTCATAACTGATTATTTTAGGTGTATTATGTTGAAAAAGTCATAGGTACAGTGAGGCATAATGAATTCTTCTATGAAGGGCAGTGCAGGAGTGGCCACAGGGCCTGTTGAATGGGATCAGGCTACAGTGGACAGTCCATAGCTGGGGGCTACAGCAATGGAGGATGTGAAAAGGCAAAGCCCAGCAAGCAAAACAATGAGCCAACAGGGGCTGTTTAAAAACCAGTGAATACTTCTCATCGCTGACAATTGCTATAGACAAACAACATAAAAAGGTACATACAATATAAATACAAATGTGTGTGGACATACAGGATGGCAAAGGAGACTTGTTTTATTGTAAACACAGGATCAGAGTTAGGCTAAATATCATGACTTGCAAGATTGCATCCTTTGAATTGTTTCAGCTTCATAAGCTTGGGGACAAAACTAATATTCTTACTACAGAGACTTTTTCTGAAGTGGTATTAGACCTGATGTTTCATAATTACTCATAACAGCATAATTATTCATAAGCGCTATTACTGATTAGTGAAAAATGAAAGGATGGGGCCCTCCGTAACTGACCATCAGTGGTAAAATTAGGGATTTGGAACAAGCCTATAATAGTTCCAGCAACATTTAGTTCCATAAAGCTTCTTAAAGTCTTCCACCAATAAGATGCACCAGAAGCCCATTCCCTGCAGCTGGGACTCTCACCTGTCGCTGTCTTTTGGAAAAGTTCCCTTGAATTGCAAAGTCATCCCTGGCCTCAAACCACCATAAATGTGCTCCACATGTGGAGCCACCTGCATAAACACAAACAATGGGACTAGATCAGATTCAGGTTACTTTAGAACCTGAACCTGAACCTGAGCCTGAGATCAGGGCGGTTAGTCTGTCGCAGCCATTCTCAACTCTGCGTTGACTGTGAGGTATGGTCTCAGCTAAACAATGTTATCAATCAGCTTTGAATTAATCAGTCAACAAAAACATGTCTGTCACATACTCAGTGAGTCAAAAGGAATCAGCACTTCTTAAAAAAAAAAAGAAAAATTATCACACTTTGTGACTGAGATGGAGCAATGTTGTGAAACTGAAGGAGATGTACATTGATGGGGTTAGTAATGCAGTAGCGCAGGCAGAGTATGCATATGTGTGTGCGTATGTCATTGGCATGCTGGTGGAGGTATGGACAGCCCGCAGTAACCTCACCTTTCACACTTGACTACTCCCATTTTTGTTTAGCTCATTAACAATCGAACACAAACACTTGCTGAATAACCTAAACCAATATGTAGCCTGTAATGATTGAAAAAAATGAAAGTCACAAAGTCACAAATTTCCTATTGGCTACAATTATATAATGGATGTTGTAAGGATGGCAATTATCTGACTAAATGCAATAAAATCCAAAAGTTCCTCAGACTTCTATCTTTCCTCTAAGCTCTTTTTTCAGCAGAATGAATTATACCAATAAGATGGTACTTGACTTCTTCAGAATTTCATAAAAAGATACATCTGAAGAGAATCCTATTTGTATTGACCCTTACAGAAAAAAATCACATGAATTTCCATTGTTTTCCACATGTGGATACGTGATCATATGTGGAAAACATGTCACCACATGTTGCAACATATGGAGCACATGTAGAAATCAGGATGGTTCCAAATACTGTAACATATTGTTACCATGGAGAGCACATCTGGAAATCACACTATTGCAGGTTATAACATGTGGAGCACATGTGAAAAATGTTTCCAAATGCTGTAATATGTGAGAACATAAGTACATATGGAAAAGATGTTACTACAAGTTGTAACATCACAAAATTACAGCATATTTTCAAAGTTACACCAGTAACTTGATATATTTCACTTATGTGAGTAATGACAAACAGAAGTTTCAGTAATATTGATAAATGATATCAATCCATTTGGAACTTGTATATTGGCACACTGGACAAAAATGATCTGTAGCCGAAGATATTCAGCAGTATACAAGTTTCTGAATTGTCCAAAACGGACAGAATAGAGAAAAGAGGATTAGTTTATCACAGATGCCTCTCTACGGTATCATCCAAATCCAGCATCATCATCATCCCTTCCCCCAAAGAGAAAAAAATCTGGATTTAAATTTCTTTTCTTTTGCAATGCAGCAAACAGTATTTTTTCTGCATTAGCCTATTAATGAGTTGTAATTTTGAAGGTGAATTTTGATTAGTGATGAGATATTGATAAGGTATACATTTTTAAGTGTTTAAATGGGGGGGGGGGGGGGGGGGCGGCTGTTTACATTAAAATAATTTTCTGCAAGAACTAAAGATATCAGTACTTTTCCACTGTTAACTTGTTTAGGCTTACCATTTTCTGCATGGTTACAATAGACGCTGAATACTACATCTTAGGAGTCCATATTATGTGTACGGCAATGATCGCATGATGAAATCTGAATTCTGCGTTTGTGTGACAAATAGCAGCACTGATGTACTTTTTACAATACAATACACATATTGACATGCTATTTTTATTCTTTTATTTTGATACATGCTATCTCCAGTGTATGCCCCCTAGTGGTCCATTGAGACTATAAATACCGATGTACCTGCTTACCTAATTATGCCCTGATGAAGACCACTTGTTGTGATCGAAACATGTTCGCGTCCTCTGGTTTTTTCGCCAGGTGGGAAAAAAAAAGCTTTTAATGCACACTATTTTGAACAGTTTGAGTACCTGGAAATGGCCCGTTTTCTGAAACTCAGTTTATTATTCTTCATACCGGAGTTAAATGGATAGAGGGCAGCACAGGACACAACTGTGTTGTAAATGTGGATTCCCATCATGAATACAGGTGGCTGTCAAATGCACAGCAGAAGTGCAGAATATATGGTCAGGCCAGAGCATACTAATGTACACGTGTACATTACATATGACAAAAATTAATGGGATCACTTCTGACGAAAATATGAATTTTTGAAATTTCGACCACGTTAAAACATGGTGATCGAGCCAAAATTCCAGCAGTTATTGCGTGGACAGAATAAAATCAAAACAAACAGAATGAAGAAACATACAAGTAACAACTCTATTACCCTCCTCCACCCTGGACTTGCCACTAGAGCCCTGCTCTCACCTGGCCTTAAAGCACAGTACTTCTCCACAACTGTTTTGATTTACGTTTCTTAATTAGCAGCTAAGTGTTAATTAATTTGGTTGTGAGTATTAATCAGGAGAATTCCTGTCTATTTCCCATTATCTTGTATTATTGTTCATTGAAATAGTTATCACGCATTTTCATATCCTCATAAATTTAACATGTCAATGTCTGTCGAAGGCTCTGAATTTGCGCAGGTCACTAAATATATATATATATATATATATATATATATATATATATGTGTGTCAGTGTCCGATTGGCTTGATACGCCTTGGAAAATGTTTTTAAATATGCTGTTTTGCATTGTCAGGTCCGCATGTTAAGTTTGCTTATGTAAAAATAATACTCTTTTGACAACCAGTGACATTACCATAATGCAGGTTAACTCTCAACCTGTGTCCGATTGAGAATCGGACAATTAATTTAATTAATTGGCTGAGCAAATAGGCTACCAATAAGCTATGTCGTCATTAATGATTAAGACATACAGTGTAGCTTTGCGTCAAAGAAGAAGGCTACAATATGAGATTGCATGGGTGGCAGTTTACTGAAATTTATTTGAAATTCCCTATTGAAGTAAAATGTTATTTAGTAAATGCTGCTGAAGATGGTATTTGGATAAGCTTTAGATTTTGCTTAAAATTAATTAATTAGATAATTGCCATTTATACAATCTCATATAGTAACCTTTCTACAACTTTCCCAGAAGCTGGATTATGAAGACCTCATCAATGATTTTGCAACCATGAACACTCAATGCATGGAATGTTTTTTAAATGATTTTAAATGCATGCAATGTATCAAACTTTCATGATTTACTAATACCTTGTTTACTAAATTATTCAATTACCAACATTTTTACATAAGAAGCGTTTGCAATTTAAAGAAGTAATTATTATCGCTTCCCGGCAACTAGTGTGCAACTGCGTTTCCCCACAAATGTAGCCTGTTCTTTTGAACGCTTAAAACATTTTGATGAAGAGCAATCTTAAAATACATTAGGTTGCACTGTGGAAAAAAAATTCTCGAATGGGAGATGGAATTCAGGGAAAGTACTGGATTAATTAAGTATTTGTTTGTCCCCCCCCATTGCTACAACACCACATTTAAGTATGATGTCATTGTAGTCCTTTGGTAATCTATGTCATTTCTTAATACTTTCTTGATAATTACAGGCTTATATATTGATCTTGATTATTCAGTAAGTAAATTGTGTGATTATTAATCAAGCGATCTTAAACAGGAACAGCTTGACAGCAATTATGCAGTTACGGGTCCAATGCTCACGGCATCACGGTGTGTGAGCGCGCACGGGCATGTGCAAATATGTGTGTGTGCGTGTGCAAATTTCTGTATGTATGTGTGTGTGGTGCCGAGCCAGGCATTTTCACACTAACCTGAATTTTTGGTTTTGGTGGGCATATCGGCTGAAAATAAAACCACAGAAAATCATGAGGAGAGGGCAGCATTCAGTAATGCACTTTTTAAACAGCTCATGTCTATTGATGCTAAAATGTCTACACAAATGTGAAAATAA